AAGGGTACGGAGACTCATCGGCTTTGGGTTTCAATCACTCACCAACTATTGGACTTCGAAATGAACGTCAGCAGAAAACCGAGCAATACATCGACCTTGCTGCAAGATGCGCACAGCGCATGAAGCCGATCAAGCCTCAAGAAGACTCAGCTGACAGACTGTCCTTCTGGACAAGCTGGCAGTCTCCCGCACGTATATGCACGGCTGTCGCGACGAAGCCACCTGCTGCACACCTGGTCTTTGCCAATGCCTGGGAGTAACGCTGGTGATCTCGGCTAAAGGTCAGTAGGCAAACCTTGTCGCTTGCTTCTGATGCTCCTGGGAGGGCGGGTGAGTAGGGCCACTATTTGCCACGACCCTATGAAGCACAAATGCCGAGATGATATTTTCTGGCAACAGCCCAAACCTCCAAGACACTGACAGCAACGTTCCCAAGCCTGCAAAGCCTCCTGGGCTGCCGCATGCCTGCGCCTGCTTGCCATGTCCACCTCGGAAAAGCTTCCGAAAAAACATCCGTGAAAGGCATAAGTCGACATGTGAGGCAAGGGCGGCCGACCATTGCCTTTGCGAACAGTGTCCAGGAATGGCAAACCACTGTCAGTTGCGACACAGCATCCCGCTGCGCCTCAAGCGCCTTGAGTCTTGCCTGAGGTCCAGAAGAAAATGCTCCCGCGATCAGTTGGATTGGAATTGAGATGATTTGTGCCTGGCCTCCTGCTCAGCAATCTTCTTGTCTTGCTGAGACGTCTTGGCCTTAGCTGCTCAGCTTGTCCCGTCAGATCATCGACGCGCTTGACGGATTGAAGCAGGGCTCAGATGCCGTGCCATTGGGCGGCCTAGGAATGCTCATTGCGCGCCCTTCATTTTCACGTGTTTCCATGGATTTTCGTGGTCTTCTCGACTCGCTTCGGCCCTACAAGAGCGGCACGAACAGTGGTGCCGGTGATGTTTGCAAGTTTCTGTGCCTGGCGCTTCGGCTTCCTTTTTCCAAGTATCTGGCCTAGGGGCCTAGACTCTAAATATTTACTCCATACGCCACATTGCCCGAGGTAAGGGCTTCGCCAGGTGCGCAGCATGGCATCATGAAGAAAATAGAAGGAAGAGAGAGAGAGAGAGAGAGAGAGAGAGAGAGAGAGAGAGAGAGAGAGAGAGAGAGAGAGAGAGAGAGAGAGAGAGAGAGAGAGAGAGAGAGAGAGAGAGAGAGAGAGAGAGAGAGAGAGACAGAGAGAGAGAGAGAGAGAGAGAGAGACGGGGAAAATGGCAACAGTCAACCATATGTACTGTCGGATAGGCCTTGAAGAATATGCACTTGACTTGTGCTATTTACATCTATTTACCATCTCACAACTCTGGAGGACCCTAAGCCCTTAAACCTAAACCTGAACTACCAGACTTACAAGGCCCTCACGCCCCAACGCCGACTCTTAAATGGCAGGCCTTCGTCTCCTTGCGCAAGGATGTCAGGTCTGCCTTGACATGAGCTGCTGGGTCACACCCGTTTAGCAGGATTTAGGGGTTAGGGTACACCTGTCGTGAGCTGAGCTGACGGGACTTCACTTTGAGATGCCTGCTAGTATTGGTCCCGTTTCTCATTGCGCCCTTCATTTTCACGTGTTTCCATGGATTTTCGTGGTCTTCTCAACTCGCTTCGGCCCTACAAGAGCGTCACGAACAGTGGTGCCGGTGATGTTTGCAAGTTTCTGTGCCTGGCGCTTCGGCTTCCTTTTTCCAAGTATCTGGCCTAGGGGCCTAGAATTTAAATATTTACTCCATACGCCACATTGCCCGAGGTAAGGGCTTCGCCAGGTGCGCAGCATGGCATCATGAAGAAAATAGAAGGAAGAGAGAGAGAGAGAGAGAGAGAGAGAGAGAGAGAGAGAGAGAGAGAGAGAGAGAGAGAGAGAGAGAGAGAGAGAGAGAGAGAGAGAGAGAGAGAGAGAGAGAGAGAGAGAGAGAGAGAGGAGATAGGAGGGGAGGGAGGGAAGGAGGGAGGGGGGGGAGGGGAGAGAGAGAAGAGAGAGAGACAGAGAGAAAGAGAGAGAGAGAGAGGAGAGAAGAGAGGAGAGAGAGAGAGGAGAGAGAGGAGAGAGATAGAGAGAAGAGAGAGAGAGAGAGAGAGAGAGAGAGAGAGAGAGAGAGAGCAGAGAGGAGAGAGAGAGAGAGAGAGAGAGAGAGAGGAGAGAGAGACAGAGAGAGGAGAGAAGAACTGAGAGAGAGAGAGAGAGAGAGAGAGAGAGACAGAGAGAGAGAGAGAGAGAGAGAGAGAGAGAGAGACGGGGAAAATGGCAACAGTCAACCATATGTACTGTCGGATAGGCCTTGAAGAATATGCACTTGACTTGTGCTATTTACATCTATTTACCATCTCACAACTCTGGAGGACCCTAAGCCCTTAAACCTAAACCTGAACTACCAGACTTACAAGGCCCTCACGCCCCAACGCCGACTCTTAAATGGCAGGCCTTCGTCTCCTTGCGCAAGGATGTCAGGTCTGCCTTGACATGAGCTGCTGGGTCACACCCGTTTAGCAGGATTTAGGGGTTAGGGTACACCTGTCGTGAGCTGAGCTGACGAGACTTCACTTTGAGATAACCCTAAACCCTAAACCCTAAACCCTAAACCCTAAACCCTAAACCCTAGTCCTGTGTTTGGAGTAGCTTACGTTCCTTCCTGGAAGCATTTGTTTATCAACAGAGGCCACATGTGGTACGTGCCACATCTGGTACGTGCCACATGTGGTACGTTGTATGAGGTTACCAGCAGTCCACAGCAGGCGGCACCATTCGATATTCCCAGAGACGTCCTTGTGAACTTGGCCTTGGAGACGCATCCTCAGGATATAGCTGGATGCTTGGGGGCATGAGAAGTTATGAGCATGAAACATGGCCCTGTGATGCCTGTGCAGCCAAGCAGCTCTCCTGGCCTTTCAAGGGAGGCTTCACACAGCTACCGTTGGTGGCCTCCGCGACCTTCGCAATGAGGTTGAAGTGCTGTTTTTACTGGTGTGCGAACTCGCGCAGCTCATCCAAGCTCGCGTGGAATGGCTGAAAGTTCACCTGGCCGGAGCGGCATGAAGGATGCAGAAACCCAACAGCCCAACACAGCACGCAGAAAGCTTTACTTCTCCCGGCCATTAAATGATGCTGCTCATCTTCCCAGCCATACTCCTTCCACCCCTGAAACCCCACTAGCCATCATGAGCAGGTCGCTCCGCATTGCCTTGCCGAAGGCACCAAGAAATTTGACAGCGCGCTGCTGCACCTGACAAACTTGGGCTCAGCCTGTCACCTCATTCAACTCCCACAACGTCTCAGTATGGATCCCGTACCTGGGAACCAATGAATGACCAATGAGGAATGATGAGCTGGACTGCCCTGAGGCGTGCTGGCACCTCAGCATGTTAGCAACATCAGCGTCTCCGCTCTCAGCCAATGCTAAGCTGCAGTCATGATCCGCCGACACCCCCGGGGGCGGCGTCAGTGAAAGCGCGAAGGGTTGTCGCTCTCCCCAACCCCCTCGCCCCCTGTCTCCCCCTCCCTCCCATGTTCTCCTGAAGTCTGAAGTATTCTGTGGGCTCCAACGCATGCCCAAACCCTCCTCACCCTCTTCATCCGCTCCCACCCCCCCTAGCTCTCCCCGGCCCCCCCCTTCCCCACCAGTCCGCCCAGCTCTCCCCGGCCGCCCCCCGGACTTCGAGTCCCACGATATTTGCGAGGCTTTCGAGGAATTCGAGCCCCACGATATTTGCGATGGTTTCGATATCCCGGAATTCGAGTCCCGCGATATTTGCGAGGTTTCGAGGCCCCGGAATTCGAGTCCCACGATATTTGCGAGGCTTTCGAGGAATCCGAGTCCCACGAAATTTGCGATGGTTTCGATATCCCGGAATTCGAATCCCACGATATTTGCGAGGTTTTCGAGGCCCCGGAATTCGAGTCCCACGATATTTGCGACGGTTCCGACATCCCGGAATTCGAATCCCACGATATTTGCAATGGTTTCGACGTCCCGAGGTTTTCGAGGCACCGGAATTCGAGTCCCACGATATTTGTGAGGGTCTCGAGATTCCGGAGAATTCGAGTCCCACGATATTTGCGAGGTTTTCGTGCACGCAGAATTCCGCTTCCATGCTATTTGCGAGGTTTTCAAGCATGTAGAATTCCGCTTCCATACTATTTGCGGCGTACTACGTCTGTACTACAAAAGGTCGACTTTCCAGCCACTGAAGCTCCTAGCGTCCGCGGCGTACTACATTTGTACTACAAAAGTTACTACTATTACTACGAGTACTACTACTACTACTACTACTACTACTACTACTACTACTACTACTACTACTACTACTACTACTACTACTACTACTACTACTACTACTACTACTACTACTACTACTACTACTACTACTACTACTACTACTACTACTACTACTACTACTACTACTACTACTACTACTACTACTACTACTACTACTACTACTACTACTACTACTACTACTACTACTACTACTACTACTACTACTACTACTACTACTACTACTACTACTACTACTACCTACTCCTACTACTACTGCCACAACCACCACTACCACTACCACTACTACCAGTACCAGTACCACTACCAGTAGCAGCACCACTACCACACAACCGCCGCTGCTACTCCCCCTGGCTCGACCTGGGGCCAACCCCCCCCCCCCCTACGAAGGCAACCCTTGGGGTCCGAAAGCCGACTTGCGAGCGTCGGAAAAGCAAGGCAGGAGTCAGAAAAACAGCATGAGGGGCCAGAAAAGCGACGTCAGGCGACCATAAAGAAAGCTGGGAGAGGAGGAAAAACAAAAAGCCGGGGGCCTGAAAAGCAATGCCTTGGTCGAGCTCGTGCCGGGGGTCGAAAAACCGACATGCAGAGCCACAGGGGTCGAAAAAACAAGCACAGGGGCCGAAAAAACAGGGAGCCCCCCTAAACCCTAAACCCTAGGTCAAACGCCAGGTCTTCAGCTTGGCTGCCAGAAGGGATGCTGGTGAGGCGGTTGTTCTGCAAGAAGAGCTCCTCGCCGGGTAACTTGGCTTTGGTCCCTAAACTCCTGTGGTTCAGGGTTTAGGGTTTAGGGTTTAGGGTTTAGGGTTTAGGGTTTAGGGTTTAGGGATTAGGGTTTAGGGTTTAGGTTCAGGGTTCCTAAACTGAACTTTGGACCCCTGTGGTTTAGGGTTTATGGTGTTAGGGTGTTGAGGCGTTAGGGCGTTAGGGCGTTGGGGTGTTAGGGTGCTAGGGTGTTAGGGTTTGGGTTTTGGGTTTAGGGTTCAGGGTTTTGGGTTTTGGGGGGCACCTCTCCTCCAGATTCTTGAAGGACAGGACGACCTCCCTTGGTGCAGGCGGCAACATACTGACAGGCATGTGCGGCCCTTGCGGGTGATCAACTGCGGTTTAGGGTTTAGGGTTTGGAGTTGAGGGTTTAGGGTTTGGAATTTAGGGTTTAGGGTTTGGGGTTTAGGGTTTAGGGTTTAGGGCTAGGGTTTAGGATTTAGGGTTTAGGGTTTTAAGGTTTCAGGTTTCGTTGATGGACTTACTGCCAGGATGATGCAATTAACAACCTTATCACTGCAAATGATAATCTCATTTGCAGAACACCCCAAAGCCAAAACCACTAAAACAAAGCAAAGCTGTTTGAAAAATCCATCAGAAAGCACAGGGACGCCCACACCCTTGAACCCTAAACCCTAGAACCCTACACCAAAAAACCGTAAAGCCCTACACCTGAAACCAAACCCGAACCCTAAACCTAACCTCAAACTCTAAGCCTCAATCCCCAAACCCTAAACCCTAAACCCTAAACCTCAAACACTAAACCGTAATTCCCAAACCCTAAACCCTAAACCCCAAACCTTACAGTAAACCCTAAACCCTAAACCCCGAACCCCAAACCCTAAACCCTAGGTAGGGGGTTCTGGATTCCGATGCTTCGTCCGAGCATCGGGAACTCGTCGAGCTGGTTGTTGGCCAGGTTCAGCTTCCTTTTATATGGAGATCTGTTTAGGGTTTAGGGTTTGTGGTTTAGGGTTTAGGGTTTAGGGTTTACCCTGAACCCTGTAATCCCTAAACCCTGTAACCCCCAAACCCTGAACACAATACGCCTCAACCCTGTACGCCCTTTATAGACCAGGGACCCAGAGTAGGCCCTTATTCCCTTGTTTAAAGCTTAGGTACCCTAAACCCTAAACCCTAAACCCTAGTCCCTCAACTCTAATCCCTAAACCCTAAACCCAAAACTGAAAACCCTACACCTTTTTGAAAGAAAGGTTAGGCGACTCTTGTGCCTAGTAGCCCTACTTCACAGAGATCTGTGAGGCTTGGAATTCCTTGGAGAACACTACGGCTGAGCAGTCCACGCAACGACATCTTGGGGTCCCTATAGGGTTTAGGGTTTAGGGTTTAGGTTAGGGTTTAGGGTTTAGGGGTACCTTATTGGGGTCCTCATTGTAAGGGAACCCTAGTAGTCGGGGTCTACACTCGGGGTCCCTTCTCTTTCGTAAACCCCCCTACTAGCGCAAGGGCGGCCGCTCCATCATCGAGGTTCCGATGTCGGGATTCCGGGACAGAGTCTCCGCATCCACTGGTGCCTCCGCTGGAGCATCCTCCTCACTCCTCAGCTCGAGCAAAGACGCCAAAGGCTGCTCGTCCGGGTCCCTTCCCACCGAATGCACCGAGCCCGCTGCCAAGACTCCAGAAAGAAACGTAGTGAGTGGCCTCCCGCACCACGACGACGAGAAACACATTGCTGTTGCCCCCCTAGAGGAGTTGTATGGCGACTGGCTCTACTGGGCGGTCCGTGGCTGCTGTGTCGTGGCGCTATAGTGCTCCTACGGTGGCGCTGGTACTCCTACGGCAGTGGTTGTAATGGTGCTCCTACGACTACGAGCTAATAATCAGTCCTAACCCTAAACCCTGAACCCCGAACCCAAAACCCTAAACCCTTGTCCCCGAACCCTCAGTGCTAGAGCCTAAACATCAGGGACCCGAAGCACTCCCAAAAAGTCCAATACCTGAAGCGCGAAACCCTTAAGCCTACAAACCTAAAGCCTAACAGGGCTCAGGGTGTGTGGTTTATTGTTTAAGGTTCAACCCTAAACCCTAAACCCTAAACCCTAAACCCTAAACCCTATACCCCTATACCCTCTATACCTCTATACCCCTAAACTGCCAATTCGCCAACCCTGAAGCCGTCCTCAAGCTCCGCATCCCCGCCAGAGCGGACGGAATCTCCGTAAGCCTGCTGGCATTCAAACGCCCTAAACCCCAAACCTTTAACTCTAAACCCTGAGCCCTAAACCCTAACCCTAAACCCTAAACCCTAAACTCAAAACCCTAGCCCTAAACCCTAAACCATAAACTCTAAACCCTAAACCCTGTCAGGGTTATAGTTGCTCAGGCTTTGCAGGGCTTACAGGTCCACCGTGAGACTTCTTGCGACGAGGTGTTGGGGTTTAGGGTTTAGGGCATCCTAAACCCTAAACCCTGAACCCTGCACCATAAACCCTAACCCCTAGGATTCAGGGCTTCAAAACCCTAAACCCTGAACCATACAAAATAAACCCTGAATCCGAAACTCTCTATTCCCCAAGCCCGACCCGAACGTTTATAAACCCCACAAATCCTACAGACCCTAAACCCTGTAAGCCCTATAATGGCCAGCATAGGCACACCCCCCCCCCCCCCCCCCCCCCCCCCCCATGGTATTCCCCCCCCCTTTGGTTCATGGTGGGTTTTGGGTTCCCCCCCCCCCCCCGTGTGGTTCATGGTCTGTGGTTCATGGGTTTATGTTTTAGGGGTTTAGGGTTAGGCTGTGGAGTTCAGGGTTTTCACTCTGGTCCATTGGTTCACTGTGGGTTGAGAGTTTAATTACGGTTCAAGGTTTCCCTGTGGTTCCTGCTGAGTTTACGGTTCAGGGGTCAGGGTTAAAGCGGCTAAGGTTTCGGGTTTACCCTTCTCCCTCCTGTCGTTCATTGGCGGTTTAGGTTTTAGGGCTTAGGTTCAGGGTTTGGGGTTTAGGCTGAGGTTTCTCTGTCCCCCTCCCCCTGGTCCGTGGTGTTGTTTCTAGGGTTAACAGGCAGGGTTTGGCGGGGGATACCATGAGAGGGGGATACCATTGCGGTTGGGGGGGGGGGGGGGGGGGGCGGGTCGATTACAAGGAACGTGGGCGCATAAACCCTATAAACCCAATCAACCGCATAAAGCCTCAAACAATGACAAGACTTAATAAAGCCAGTAAACCCACAAACCTGCCTGTAAACCCTACAGGCAGAATAGGAATCCCCAAACACCAAACCCTAAACCCCAAACCCTAAACCCCAGACCCTAAAGCCTAAACCCTAAACCCTAAACCCTAAACCCAGACCCGAAGCTTCACCTGCATTCCTTCAGGCCTGTTGGCGCCCAGGTAGAGCTCCTTCAGCGCCAGCTCCGCCAGGCAGGGGGGCACCTTGCCGGGCTTCTGCGGTTTAGGGTTTAGGGTTTAGGGTTTAGGGTTTAGGGTTTAGGGTTTAGGGTTTAGGGTTTAGGGTTTAGGGTTTGGGGTTTGGGGATTGGGGTTTAGGGCTTGGGGTGTAGGGTTTAGGGTGTAGAGTTTGGGGTTTGGGGTTTGGGGTTTGGGGTTTGGGGTTTGGGGTTTAGGGTTTGGGGTTAAGGGTCTTCAGATGATCCAGCATTTCAGCGCTTCGGGGCGCAGAGGGCTCCGTGCTTAGGGCTTAGGCTTACGGGTTTTGGCGGCTCAGAGTTTACCCAGAGGGTCCATTTGTATTGCTATTCTGGAATTAGGTACCCAAAAACCATACTAAATAGGGTTTTGGGGTACCTAGTGCCATAATAGTACTACAAATGGACCCTCTGGGTTAGGGGTTCAGGATATCGATAAGTGATACGGGATTTAGGGTTTCGGTTTAGGGTGTAGGGTTTAGGACTTATAAATCTTCCTGAGATCAGGCGGAGGGCATTCTGTCATGGTGATGTTCTCCCTAAACCCGTAGACCCCAAACCCTTAGGCCCTTCACCGACAAGCTTCGTCTCTCCCAAAACCCCAGAAGTCCCAAACCCCAAAAAACCCAAGCCATCAACCTGCATGCGGAGCTGATGGGTTTCGGGTTTCGGGTTTAGGAGCTTCAGGGGTTCAGGGGCCAACCTAAATCCTCAACCCTAAACCCTAAACCGTAAACCCCAAACCCCAAACCCTAAACCCTCAACCCTGAACCCCGAGCACTCCCATCACCAGTGGGTTAAAGGGTCAGGGGCTCATGGCCGGGCGGCCGATTCGAAATTGCTTGCTGGCAGATGCAGCTGCCTAAGTTGAAAGGAGGGTTCAAGGTTTAGGGTTTAGGGTTTAGGGTTTAGGGTTTAGGGTTTAGGGTTTAGGGTTTAGGGTTTAGGGTTTAGGGCTTAGGGTTTAGGGTTTAGGGTTTAGGGTTTAGGGTTTAGGGCAAGCCTCCCTGACGGCGGGGGGGGGGGGGGGGGGGGGGGGGGGGTCGGTTGCGGGGTTGAGGGCTTGGGTTTGGGTTGAGGGTCGCGTCGCCAAGAATGGAAAACCAAAGTTGGCAAGGGATGACTTTGGAGGGGGCATAGGGTTTAGGGTTTAGGGTTTAGGGTTTAGGGGGTCCTTGTGGGGAAGAGGTTCGGGAACCCAGTCGTGAGTGCCATGTACATTCGTTCTCCTCTTTCGGGTTTAGGGCTGGGGGGCATACTGTCAAAGGTGTGGTGCTCTAAACTCTTTCACGGAAAGTCCGAAGCACTCAAAACCTTGAACCCTTTTTCGGGTTCGCGGGGCTAGCCTCTCACCCATATAACCCTAAACCCTTGACCTCAAACCTCACGAGTCTCTAAACTGCACACCCCTGAGCCCAAACCCTAGACCCTAGACCCTAGACCCTAGACCCTAAACCCTAAACCCTAAACCCTAAACCCTAAACCCTAAACCCTAAACCACTGAGCCCTTGAACTCTTAAGTCCATCAGCGCGAAATCTGTTCCCCCAAAGGCCCTAAGTCCCAAAACCCCCTTAACCTTGAACCACAAACCCTAAACCCTAAACCCGAAACCCTAAACCCTAAACCCTAAACCCTAAACCTTAAATCCCCAACCCTAAACCCTAAACCCTCAACCCCAAACCCTAAACCCGAACCATCGCCGCCGAGGTGGCTCCAGCTCAAGGAAGCCGCACACCTCGCTAGGCACAGACGGGCCAACTCCTGCAGAGGATTTGGGGCTTTGGGGTTCAGGGTTCAGGGTTCGGGTTCAGGGTTTAGGGTTTAGGTTCAGGGTTGAGGGGCTTAGGGTTTCGGATTTAGCGTTGAGGGTTGAGGGTTTAGGGTTCAGAGTCTGGCGGAGGTTTAGGGTTTTGGGAGAGGGTGTTGGGGTTTAGGTCTTGTGATGATATGTGATGATCAGGGTTTAGGGCGCCAAGGCTTTGAGGGAAGAGCACAAACCCCAAACTCTCCAACCTTAGTCAGATGCGACAGAAAGTCCACGGCTAGGCGAGGCGGCTTAGGGTTGAGGGTTAGGATGTTCCCCCTCATAGTAACAGTCCTTAACCCTAGTTGCTGAGCTCCTAAGCCCCAAAAGTGCACACTTTTGGTTTTGTAGAGGTTCTAGTCATCCCAAAAAGAGAAGAGTGTGCACTCACTCAGCTACCAAGTAAAAGGGATTGTGATGGGGGGGGGGGGGGGGGTACTAGAATCCCTATTGTGGACTGTCAGTATGGGGGGGGGAACATGGGTTTACTTGGTCAGAACTCTTTTTTGGTTGAAAGGGAGCCATAAGCTTCCCAGGGTTTAGGGTTTAGGGTTTAGGGTTTGGGGTTTAGGGTTTAGGGTTTAGGGTAATTGCTGAAGAAACCCCAAAAAGCACCAAGAATAGTATTCCCTATATTGCCCTTGTAAGGAAGTACATTTTTTGGGGTAGTTCCTAGGTACAAGTAAACCTCCTCCTGAAGCTTAAACCCTTGCAACTGCTTCCGTCACGATGGTGTAGGGTTGAGGCATTTAGAGTTGCAAAGGAGGGTTGAGGAGTTTAGGGCTAGCCCCTACCTTCCAACTAAAACCCTAACCCTCAACCCTAAACCCTAAACCTAAACCCTAAACCCCTGATTCCCCACCTTGCAGCCAAGAGATCCGCAGCTGCTTCAGGCTTCCTTGGGGTGGATGTCGCTTCCGGAGCCCGCTTGGGGTTTAGGGTTTAGGGTTTAGGGTTTAGGGTTTAGGATTTAGGGTTTAGGGTTCAGGGTTTAGGGTTAGGGTTCAGGGTTCAGGGTTTAGGGTTTAGGGCTAGGGTTTGGGGTTTAGGGTCTAGGGTTTAGGGTTTAGGATTTATAGGGCTAGGGTATATAGTGACTGGCTTGGCACTTAGGGTATAGGGTTTAGGGTTAGGGCTTCGAGGTTCAGAGAGGGCTTCGGGGTTTGGGAGCCTTTGGAGCTCTTAGAGTTCCGCAATCTCCAGAGGCTCTTGACAGAGGGGATGTCGGGTTTACCCTGAACCCTAACCCCTACACCCTAAACCTTAAACCCTAAACCCCAAATCCTAAACCCTAAACCCCAAACCCTGAAACCCAAAACCCTAAACCCCTTGTCATCAGAGCCAGGCGTCTCAGCTCCGGCCAATCCCAGAGTGACTGCAGCACGTCGGCATCGGACACGCTGGGGTCCTGTCCTAATGGGGGATCCAGGGTTTAGGGTTTAGGATTTGGGGTTTAGGGTTTAGGGTTTGGGGTTTGGGGTTTAGGGTTTAGGGTTTAGGGCGCCCAAAAAATCTAAACCCTAAATCCCCAGTTTAGGGCTGAGGGCTTAGGATCTAGGGTCAAGCCCCTAAACTCTTAATCGCCAGTTCAGGGTTGAGAGAGGAGGGCGCGGAGGGTTTAAGTTTAGGGTGTTCGGGATTATATAATTGGGAGGGGGGAGTAAGATTTCGGGCTTGGGGGTGCAGAAGCGCCTGGGTGCCTGCAGTTACCGTATGTTATATGGCGCAAGCACTAGGCTCGGGGAACTTCTTAGTCTGCAGGAGATACATTGCGAACTCCGATCCTCTTAAATGCAAGAAAAGAAACCAAAAAACAAATGCCAAGGTCCGATATATCCTTAAGACCGAACCCTAAATCCTAAACCCTTGAACTTAAACCCCTAAACCCCGAACCCTAAACCCCAACACCAAATTAAACCCCAAAACCCCCGAACCCTCAAATCTTCACCCTAAACCCCTAAA